CATTTGAGGAGGTGCAGAAGTAGATCTAGAATCATTGAACAATAATTGTTGAACAATGTCAGTTGATGTGTTGTTCATCCTTCACAACACTTTAATTATATCTTCTTTTCATTCTCTTTTTTTATTAATCTTTTACTATAATTTTACTTTTAATTTTATTATTTCATCTCTTCCTCTTATTTTTTATTGGATATTTATTTTTGTGTTTTTCTTTTTAACTTCTTTGTCATTTTATGTTTTTTTAATGTTTTTATTAAATGTTAAAGTATGACTAATAAAATATAAGTTATTTTATTATATATTATAATAAATAGGGTTTTTTCTTTTCATTGATTGAAGAATTTTCCTTTCAAAAACAAAAAAATAATACGATTTTATCTTATGAATAAAAATGAAAAACACAAATAAATCAAATGATAAAAAGAAATAACGAAACAAAAGGAAGCAACAACGAGTCAATATAGTACTTTATTTTTTATCTTTCTTTTCTTTCTTATCCTTTTTACCGAATATTTTAGAAAACATTCCTTTTTTCTTTTCTTTAGCTTGTGGAGCTTCAGAAACAACAGCATCTAACAAACCCATTGAGACCTTTGCAGCTAATTCAAAGATTTCTTTTAATCCACTCTAAATGATTAATATCTCATATTTTCATAAGAAAAGACAAATAATATAAATACTCATTGAGTAATATTAAAATAACTAATACTAATAGAACAACCGCTGAAAGAATATATTAAAAAAGTATAAAATAAACAAACCTGAGTAATAGCAGAGCATTCACAAAATGCTTGTGCTCCAACCTCTTTTGCCATAACTTCAATAGATTCTTTTTTAACTAAGTCCTTTCCTTGTTTCTTCAAGACATCAATAGCATTTGGATTATTTCTAACATCAGACTTAGTACCAACGATAATAATTTTGGGGTCATCCTTACCACAGTTATCTCTAATTTCAGGTACCCATTTAGTCTTAATTCTCTCAAATGAGTCTTCATCAGCAATTGAAAAACAAATCATGAAACAATCAGTATCAGCATAACTGAGTGGTCTCATTTCATCAAGGTCATCAGATCCAGAAGTATCCCAAAGATTCATTTGAACAGTTTTTTTATCTACTGAAATTGGAGCTGTATAATTATCAAATACTGTTGGTACATATGTATCTGGGAATGAATTGGTTGTATATGTTAATAATAAACATGTTTTACCAACGTTAGTATCACCAATAACTATTACCTTGATCTCAGCCATTTCTTGTTTGAATTAAAGTTCTCACAGTTTTTCCTTAGTTCTTTTTTTAATTTATTTTACTATATTTATTACTATTTCTCCCTTCTTATTCTTTTTTTACTTGTTGTATTTTTAATCTTTATTGTATTTTTAGATCATTTTTACATAACTTTTTTCCTCTCTCTTTCATTAATTTTACCTATTTCTTTGTTTCTATTTTTAAATTTCTATTTTTACTTTTTATAAGACGAAAATAACATTTTTTTTTCAATCTTTGAAGATAATAAAAAAACATTATTTTGATATTTAAATAAAAAAACATTATTTTGAAAATAAGTTAGTTTAATGTTCAACACCACTAAAAGTTTAATTTATATTGTCTAAATTCAATTGGGAATTATTGTACTTCCAAATAAACAATCAATAAATTATAAAAATACTTTAACAGTCGAATTAATTAAAAAAAAATTAAACTTTAATATTTGTTTAATTCAAATAAATATTTCTTCAATAACTTAAAACAAAAATAAAAGTTAATCATTTTAATTTATTATTTCTATTTGAAAAACAAAAGAACTTTATTATTTAATTTAAATTCTAAATGGAATTTAAATTAGAGAATCATCCATTTCTTCATTATACAAATATTTGTGGACAAACATGTATTCAATCTGATAATTATTTATCTGCTCCTCGTTGTATATTATTTTTTACTGGAAATCCTTCATTGTTAGCATTTTATATTGATTTTTGTGAGATGTTACATGAACAATATCCTGATAATAGTATTCTTGTTGTTTCTTTACACTGTACTCCAATGAATAATGTTTTTCCATCATGGAAAACATCTCTTTGTGAAGTAGTAAAAGTTAAATTAAATTTAATTGATTGGGTATTAAGAGAATTACCACAAACAACACATTTCTTATTATTAACTCATTCTCTTGGAGCATTTGTTGCTCTTCATGTTTTACCTCAACGACCAGAATTAGAACATCGAGTTGATCAAATCATTCATTTATTTCCTGCTATTAGAGACCTTAAACATTCAATAGACTTAATTGTTAGACTTCTTGCAAGACTTACACTTATTTATCCATTAATTTCAATGACAACATATTTACTTAAGTTATTACCTCTATTCATTTTTACTCTTTTTATTCAACTCGTTTCAACTACTCCTCCTCAACAAGCAAAAATGATGCAACAAGATTTAAATCCTCATCATATAGCCCAAGTTGCTTATTTTACTTTAGATGAAGAAGAAGTTATTACTGATCATGACAAACAAACTCAAGAATGTCTTTTAAAAACTTCAAATAAAACTACTGTTGTCTTTGGTCAATTTGACAAATACACTCCTTTATGGATTCGTAATGAATTTAAAGAAAGATATCCTGATGTTCGTGTTATAGAAACTACAATTAAACATGCTTTTGTATTAGGAAAGTCAAAAGAAATGTTTGATTTTTTAAAACAAAATAATGTTCTTCTTTAACTAATTTATTAAACGTTATTCTCTTTTATTTGTTTTTATTAATTTCTCAATAAATTATAACTTTATACATACCACAAAACTTATTTTAAATAAAAGTTCATTCATTTGTAAAATAAAATAAACATGACAACAACAAAGCATCATCTTGTTATCATTTATTGTATCTGACTTTTCTTTTTACAAAAAGTTAAAACTGAATTAAAGTCTGTTTACTTTAAATAAAAAAAAGAAAAAAATAAGAAGAAGTAAAATAAATAAAAATAAGATAATTAAATGATAATAAAATTATCATTTATTCATTGGTTAATGGATATTAATCACATTATACATCATT